AAAAAAAAAAAAGAAGAAGAAGAAGATCCAGACACCAAATTAGCATCACATCAATGTCCCTAATAGCAATGCAGATGGAAATTATGTTCTAGCATTTCACAAACAGGCTGGTTAGATGATTTATGGAGGCTCTATATTACTAACTTAATTGATATTTATACCGAAAGGATGATAAATCCACATTGGGAATTATGAAACTGGTTTAATTATGCAGTCCATCACTTATCAACCCAAACTAACATGGCCCAGTTTGTAATTCTTAGGCTAATCTTCTAACCTTCATGGTTAGAAACGTCTGTCATCACCAAGATCATGCATAAGAGCCTTGTAGTACTGTTGTATTTGTTGAAGGCTTGATGGTTGGTCATAAAACGTTCATAAACCTCCATTGTTCAGGTGCGAGGGTGATCCTGGCTTGCAGAGACATGGGCAGAGCCAACAGAGCAGCAGATGAGGTCAGGAAGAGGAGTGGAAATGGCAATGTGATTGTGAAGATGCTGGATCTGGCCTCCTTGCAGTCTGTCCGAGCTCTGGCCAAAGATGTACAGCAGGCTGAGGAGAGACTGGATATTCTCATTAATAATGCTGGTAAGGAATGTCAGCCAGATTATAATGCATGAACACATGGTTGATATATATTTATTTAAATGAAATATATTTAAACAATATGTATTTATATATTTATTTGCATTTTTTCTTTCTTTCTGTGAACAGGGATAATGATGTGTCCACAGTGGAAGACAGAAGATGGCTTTGAGATGCAGTTTGGTGTGAACCACCTGGGTCATTTCCTGCTTACCAACTTACTTCTGGACTTGTTGAAGAAATCAGCACCCAGCCGTGTTGTCAATGTTTCCAGCCTGGCCCATGAGACAGGTGTGGGGGCCCATATGTTTTTATGTGTGAATTAGTCATAACGAAACACTGAATTTTCTAAATTATTGCAAGCAGTGATTGTACTCCTTATCCAGTTCCCTGACAAGATGCTCTGTTTTGACAAAATGAGAGTATGTAAACACTGTAGGGCATAAAATATACATAAATACATCATTCTGATTGTAATGTATTATATGTATCATTTACAATGTAAACACATTTAAAGTGTTTATGAGGAACATTCAGTATTTGGATTCCTTATAATATTTCAAATTATTTTCTGTTGGACAGGCAAGATTAATTTTGATGATATAAACCTGGAGAAAAACTATGATGCACACACAAGTTATCGACAGAGCAAGCTGGCAAATGTTCTGTTTACCCGGGAACTAGCTGTCAGACTGAAAGGTAAACTATAGACCTGAAATGCTATATTGAATTTAACGTGGATAAAAATTAGACTGTAAGGTCTGAAAAATGAGACTGTACTGTATAAATGTCCTAGATATCATTTTCACAACTCACAAACTCAGAACTGTTTAATAGATTATTTATATAGGAAGTTTTTTTTTCTTTCTGAAAGACGTTTGATCAGCTAAACATTTGGCATACTGTTAAACAACAGTACAGTCCATTGAATGTGCTGTACTTCACAGCCTATCCCTCACAGCCTTGTTGTCATTCCTGTCAAAAATTAAATATGGCGCTACCCTGACTAAGGTCTATCATGAAAACTTTCTCACTCTTACAGTTTTGAAACATCACAATGTCACATCTACACACATGCACACTCTCAAACACGCTGCTTTCAAACTCTCTCCCTTTATATCATTCAGGCACCGAAGTGACAACGAACGCTCTTCATCCTGGGGTGATCCATACTGAGCTGGGCCGACACCTTCTCCCCTCTCTGCCTCTATGGAAAAGGCTTTTGTTCTTGCCCCTTTTTTTCTTTGTCAAAACCCCTTGGCAGGGTGCGCAGACCACCATCTACTGCGCAGTGAATGAGAGTCTGCAGAATACTAGCGGACTTTACTACAGGTCAGTAGCTTTTTCTATCACATGTGTTAAATGTAATATAGTAAGATTTTGCTCATCAAGGCCTGTGAGAGGTGTACACAAACTTTCCAAAGTTAGAATTATTAAATGTATCACCTCTTCCATGACATAATATACTGCCAGTATATGACATAATATACTGTAGCACGTTGATGACAAACTTGTGACGGTGATCTTTGTTTTACAATGGATGCCATCGTCATTTAATAAATTCAAAATGAAAACAAACTGTTTTCACCACTTTTTCACAGTGTTCTCAGACCATTGCTGTTCAATTATGATAATTTCAGGCTGTGGTTAATTTCTCTTTTGGTGGTTTTACAGTGATTGTGCACCCAAAGAGGCAGCTCCTCAGGGTAGAGATGATGCTGCAGCCCGCAGACTGTGGGATCTCAGTGCTTCTATGGTGGGCCTGGCTTGAGACAAGACCTTGCCCCGTGAAAATCACTCTCTTCATTTAAAAATCAGTTTGTCACATTTCCTGTGTAGATTGTGCATTTCAAATTTGCAGACTAGTAAATCTGCTACTTTATATAAAGTACAGAGAGCCAGTTTAAGAATGTAGCAAAGTAGTGTTTCGGTGTGCAGGATGAGGCTGGCTCTGTAACAAAGTGCCTATGCAATGAGATGAACTGCAATATGAAGTGTGAATTTCAGCATTAAATAATTAGTGAGATTTTATATACTGTAATGCCATTAGCCATTTTGCATAGCGTAATTAGACATTTAATGTACCTTTTAAAAATAGATTTCATTGCCAGTACTTATGTAATTTGTTACCATGTTTCACAATAAAATTATGTAATATGAATTTAGGTTAAAATTTCAATAAAGCCTATTTTTGAATAATGAAATAAAGACAATGAATCAGTACCCTCTATAAAATGAGTTTATGGTAAAGGTAAAGAGCATTTTATAAAAGCTGTAGCACAACATGAGCAGGATTTTGGAATAAAATTTGAGTTTTTAAAATTCCCTTACATAAACAGTTTGTTTGAAATCTCATTGTAAATAAGCACATTTAAAATATTACACTTTGATATTGTTTTCATTAAGTGACAAGCATGATTGTCATGAAATGATAATCAAGTCTGTATTAAGAAGAGTAACAAACACTTTACCAATTAGCAAAGTGCCTCAATCTAAAAACTAATTCTCTTTGGGGCTATAATTTAGATGTACAAAACTCAAACATGATTGCTATATATATATATATATATATAT